TAGCCCACGTTCAAGGGCACGAGGATTGCACTCCTTTCGAAGGGAGGCATGTCAAAAAAATATGTGGACACGTTTTCAAATCAACGGGACATCCACGACGTGTCAGTGGAAGCGTAACTCATTCGTGTTCTGTATTGGAGAGAGTGCGTGTCAGTAATCACAGCATGTTTGTGTGCACTTATAGTAAAAAAAAAAAAAAAGAGAGAGAGAGAGAGAGAGGTGCCTTTAAATTTATCAACCTTTAACTTTTTACTTTTGTAAGTGTGCTTTGTGACTCTCTTTTGAAGGCTTTCTCTTAGCCCAACCTTTTAAAGTATTTTTCCCTGTTTTTGCTTAGTAATTTTAGAGATCTCTCTCATAGTTAACACATTTTTAAATGGAGTTAGGACGGAATCTGCCTTAGATCAGCTTCCTGAGAAACAGCCCGAAATGGGAGTTCTTGCCCACGTGCCTGGGGAATTGTTCTCAGAAGAAGGAGAATGAGGCCATCAGGACAGGGCGGCCAGGAAAAGCTGAGCAGCCGTGTGGTCTGCGCTGGTGGCGAGCTTGGTCTAGAGCAGTGGTTCTCAACCTCGGCTGCACATTAGAATCACCTGGACCTGGGAGTCTTTTTAAAATCCTGATTTCTGGGCCTCATCCTCCGGAAATTCTGTTTCTTTGTTATGGGGTGGGGCCACAACATTAGTAACAAAGAAAGAGAATTTCCAGAGGATGAGGCCCAGAAATCAGGATTTTAAAAAGATTCCCAGGTGATTCTAATGTGCAGCCAAGGTTGAGAACCACTGGTCTAGACTCAGAGAGAGTGATGGAGCCCCAGTTGTCCCACCCAGTTAGTTGCACCTGGAGGCAAGGAATCAGCCTTCATGCATCCAGACCGTTCAGACCCAGGGCAAGGTCTGCCATGAGGAGGAGGCGGGGGCAGCTGGGGGCGGCTATGCTGTTGGAAAGGGATTGGGGGGCACCCACTGAGACAACTACGGCTCAGAACACTCGCTTTTCCCATGGAGTTGAAGGTCTGCCATGAGGAGGAGGCGGGGGCAGCTGGGGGTGGCTATGCTGTTGGAAAGGGATTGGGGGGCACCACAGAGGCAACTACGGCTCAGAACACTCGCTTTTCCCATGGAGCTCACTCCATCAGCTATAGCTTCTGCAGCATTCCGATTGGGCATAATTTCTGGGTAAAGGTCGAAGAGGAGAATTAGTTCTAGAGCCTTAACTGATATCCAACAGCTCCCTCCTCTGCCATTCACTCATCTAGCCCTCCCCCTCCCCTTGGACAACTGGCTTCTCTCTGCTGTCTCATAGCTCGCCTGGCCCTGGCCCTCACCCCTGAAGGGCTGAGTCCCTAGTTACCACGCCTTCAGGCCTTCGGTCATGGTCCTCGCCTCCTTACAAATAAAACTCAGCCTGGGTGCCTGGAGAGGCCCCGTGGATCACCTGAGCGCCCCGTTACACAGCAGCAGCTCCAGCTCCGAGAGGACCGGGGTTTGTTACCCAGGCCGTGTGGCAAGGCCTCCCCTGCCTGCTGCTGGATTGGCACCAGGAGACCAAAGTGACCAACCAGGTGGCAGGTGTAGCTCTAAAGTTATTGGGGCTCCAGCCATGTCCCCAGGGGAAATGTGCCCCCCACTCTGGGCATTCGCATTTCTAGACCCACAGAGTCTCAAGTTGGGGGGCTGGAAGCACAGATTCCCCAGGGAGGCCACTGGACGTGATGGTAAGCAGGGCCACTCCTGCTTCCACTCCGTGGTCCCAGACTCCCGAGCCTGTGTCGGCCCCGTGCTGTAAAGTATCCGTGGGCTTACAGTGCGTGCCTCGCCCTGAAGGACGCCCGCGCCCTCTCCTGCCGTTTTCTCAGCTGTGTGTCCAGAGGCTGGCCCATCACCCCAGGAGGCCAGCAGCTTCTTGCTGGTGCAGCACATGGCAGCGTGGCCACCACCACATTCCTGTGCCATAAAGTGGGCCCGTGGTCTGAGGGCGCAGGAGGCAGCCGCGAGTCAGCTGCCAACATGCACACGGTGGGGCCAGGCGCTGCGAGCGGAGGGGTCTGGTGGGACACCGGCTGCACGCATGGCAGGACCTACCCCAGGCTTTCCCATAGAACTTTCCAGCTCTCCCCAAACCTCTCCTTTAATAGTTTATCCTCCCTTGGTTTCTTTTTCTTTCTCCCCGAGTTTAAACGTCCCATTGATCACACCCTAAACGCCCACGTTCCCCTGAGCGTGTTCCTGGCCTCTCTTGTCCCGCTGACCTGCTGGCCCGCTCCGCCTGCGTCACAGGCTTCGTCCAGGGCGATTTTAGGGAGTGTCTGCTCCCCGGTAGGGCTACTTGTCTGACTAGACACCTCATGTGTCATTTCTTGGGGAGTTCAGGTCACACGCTGGGAATCTGGTATGTGTTTGCTGAGCGGAGGACAGCCCTGCTGGCTCTAACTCACTTTCTCCCAATTTGAAACAAGCCCACAACTCCCTCCCCATCAGCCTCTGCTCCTGATGCAGGGCTACGGAGCCTTTCTCCCTGGCCTTCCTCAGCAAGGATGGCCGCTCGGACGCAGAGGTGAAGCTGGCTGGCGTCCAGAGATCGCCGAGGCGGGCGGGGGTGTGGGGGGTGGTGGCTAGGTTAGCTCATCCGGGCAGCAACGGTTACCCAGGCCGTGTGGCAAGGCCTCCCCTGCCTGCTGCTGGATTGGCACCAGAAGACCAAAGTGACCAACTGGGGTGATCCACTGGTTAGCTCATCCGGGCAGCAACGGGCTGATCTGACGACGGTGGTGCAGAGACTGGGACAGCACAGGAGCCGCATCTGGGGATGGCAGGGGCAGCTTGGACCTGGAGCCAGTCCTGAGTTAAGGCCTCTATAATTCATGCGCCGTGTGATGTTTGACAAGTCACCGCGGCCTGAAGGGCGTGGTAACTAGGGACTCAGCCCTTCAGGGGTGAGGGCCAGGGTCAACCCACCAGGCGAGCTATGAGACAGCAGAGAGAAGCCAGTTGTCTGCTGTCCCAGTCTCTGCACCACCATCGTCAGATCAGCCCGTTGCTGCCCGGATGAGCTAACCTAGGACCCTCCCCCGCCACGCCCCGTCTTGGCGACCTCTGGAAGCCAGCCAGCTTCACCTCCTGAGTTAAGGCCTCTATAATTCATGCTCTGTGTGATGTTTGACAAGTCACCGAACCTCTCTGAACTTCATCTGCAAAAGTGGAGCTAATAACCATAAATCTACCTCCCAGGGTGGCTGCAAGGATTCAATGGGATAATGTCTATGTATAAAGTGCCGGTAACATATAGAGGCTGAAAAACATGGTGCTTTCCCTTCCTCTGCATCTCACCTGTGGAACGGGGATGGCAGCCCCTTGTCAGAGGAACCCCTGCGGGGAACCCAGGGCAACAGGGTGGTGGGAAGGTCTTCCAGACTAGAAAGTCTCAAGTCCTGGAGCTTGAGATGGTGACAATGGGAAAGTCCCTACCAGCTGTGTGGCCCTGCAGTAACCACCGAACCTTGCCGTGCCTCAGTTTCCTCCTCTGTACAATGGGAAAACAGTGCTGTGCATTCGGTGGGGTTTTGTAAAGGAAACGTGAGTTACACAGAAACAGCCCAGAACAATGCCAGCGCCCAGTACGCCCGCAAGAACTGTCAGTGATGACGACGAAATAGTGTTTGAGTGACTATTTCGTGCTAGATAATACTCTAAGCCAGTGATGGCGAACCTTTTGAGCTCGGCGTGTCAGCATTTTGAAAAACCCTAACTTAGCTCTGGTGCTGTGTCACATATAGAAGAGTCAGTCTGGTGACATGCAGGGGACATGGCACTTCAGACAGAGGGGAGAGCATAAGTAAAAAGAGTAAAAACAGAGGAGAGGACAGCACCGTGATGGCGAACCTTTTGAGCTCGGCATGTCAGCATTTTGGAAAACCCTAACTTAACTCTGGTGCCGTGTCACATATAGAAATTTTTTGATATTTGCAACCATAGTAAAACAAAGACTTATATTTTTGATATTTATTTTATATATTTAAATGCCATTTAACAAAGAAAAATCAACCAAAAAAATGAGTTCGCGTGTCACCTCTGACACGCATGTCATAGGTTCGCCATCACTGCCTTAGGTTCTGAACTACTAGGAACTCAGGAATGGAGAAAGGAGAATAAAGGAGGCCATCCTGGTTTGCCGGTCATCTCCGTTGCTTTCTGCTGGCAGCCTTAGGTAACGCCCCCTCTCTGAGCCTCACGCCATTGGTGGGAATATAACCCGGGCCTGATTGCTGAGAGGACAGTTCGGCAGCATTGACTCAGATTTAAAATGAGCGTACCCTCCGATCCCGGTATTCACACTTTCAGCTGTGTCCAGAGAGCTGGGGTAAGGATGTTCATGGCAGCCTTCATTCAGCCAACAAATATTAGGCTCTATGCTAGCCTGGCTGTGTGGCTCAGTGGTTGAGTGTCGACCCATGAACCAAGAGAGGTCACTAGTTCGATTCCCAGTCAGGGCATATGCCCGGGTTGCGGGCTCGATCCCCAGTAGTGGGCGTGCAGGAGGCAGCAGGTCAGTGATTCTCTCTCATCACTGATGTTTCTATCTCTCTCTCCCTCTCCCTTCAAAATCAATTTTTAAAAATGCTAGGTGCTGGGGAACCAGCAGTGAATGAACCAAGTGAGGTTTCCTCTTTCCTGAAGCCAAAGAGGTCACTAGTTCGATTCCCAGTCAGGGGATATGCCCGGGTTGCGGGCTCGATCCCCAGTAGTGGGCGTGCAGGAGGCAGCAGGTCAATGATTCTCTCTCATCAGTGATGTTTCTATCTCTCTCTCCCTCTCCCTTCAAAATCAATTTTTAAAAATGTTAGGTGCTGGGGAACCGGCAGTGAATGAACCAGGTGAGGTTTCCTCTTTCCTGGAGCCAACATTCTAGGGAGAGAGACAGCAACAAGCACGTAGACAAAGAAATAAATGACGTAGTTGCAAATAGCATGAGAGTCTATACAGACTATAAACCCGGGAGAGGGAGCGGTTTTGATATATGAGTTGAGGCCTGAAGTACAAGAAGGAGGCGGCCTTGGGGAGGTTTTGGGGTGGTCCTGGCAGGCCCGAGGGGGGAATGCTGCACCACAGAAAGGAGCAGGTGCAGGGGGGCCAGGCCTTCCGACCACAGGGAAGACTTTGGCCTTCACTCGTGTGAGGTGGGAGCCATGGGAGGGTTCAGGCAGAGGAGGGATTGAGTTGGACTCAAGGGGTTGCAGGAGGGTGGGGGGAGGCAAGGGTAGAAGCAGAGACCAGCCACTGTAATGGTCCGGTGAGAGGTGCTGGCGGCTGGGATTCAGGTGGTAGCAGGCGGAGGGGAGAAGTGGTTAGATTCTGGATACATCTTTTCATCTTTTAAAATCTTTGATCACAAATGACAAACATACAGAAAAGCGCACAAGTCATAAGTGTACATCTCAATGAATTTCCGCAAAGTGAATATATCCTGGTCATGAGCACTGGGTTCAAGGGCACAGACCTGTGCTGGCTGCTTTGAAGGACGGAGCCACAGGATTTACTGTGGGGCTGGTGTGGAGAGGAAGGAAGGCCTCAGAGAGGACCCCAGGACTTGGACCTGAGCAACTGGAGGAAGGGAAGT